CTTGTTGCTGTAATAAATATATCAAACTTTAAAACGGTTAGTAGAAAACAATAACCAAATATACGATATTGAGACGCTTTCTTAAACGTCTGCGTGTTTGTTTGTTTTAAGTTAAGTACAAAGCTACACAATGGGCTATCTGTGCTCTGCCCAGCACGGGTATCGAAACCCGGTTTCTAGCGTTGTAAATCCGCAGACATACCTCTGTGCCACTGGGAGGTGGGGAGGGGGGTTAAGGACTAGCATCAATGAAACTGTGTGTTCTAATTAGCCCACGAAATAATTAACCCTACTTTTACAGCCCTATCATTAGTAATGTGACGATCAAGTTAAAATATAATTAAACTGATATATTACCTGAATAGATAATTATATGAAACAACGTGTATCAAGTTAGTTGATTAATATACATACGTCTCTTTCCATAACTAGTCACACCAAACATGCTCGCCCTTTCAGCCGTGGGGGCGTTATGATGTTACGGTCAATCCCACTATTCGTTAGTAAAAGAGTAGCCCAAGAGTTGGCGGTGGGTGGTGATGACTAGCTGCCTTCCCTCTAGTCTTACACTTCTAATTTAGAGACGGCTAGCGCAAATATAGCCCTCGTGTAGCTTTGCGCGAAATTCAAAAAACAAACAAACAAACAGGCTGAATTTCCAGAACTCTGCGTGAGCCCAAAACAAAAGTAGAATATTAATCCAATCTCATTTTTGAATGAAATTTGAAAGTTGGTTATTATTTCTTCATGAAAACATGAATTAATTACTTTCGGGCCTACTTGTGAATATAAGATAATTTACTACTATAGTCGGATCTTCAGAAACATTCCCTTAAACCTTGTTGTGTAGGTATTGAATCAGCAAAAGCCATAAGTATAACTAATACTTTTAATAACAGTAGCCCTAAATCTTGTAGCGAATACTTACATTGACTTGTATTTGTGGAAGAAGCAAATATTAATATTTTCTACACTTGTACAGAGCTCCGGCGTTGTCCGTCCATTCGACGTCCTTGAAAGATTTGTCTGGTGGAAGAGTTCGGTTTGATGAAGAACTACAATTAACTGAACATAACCTCCGCCGATCGTGTAGAAAGCTTTTTGCCACATTATATGCCCAGAAAGCCGCAGCTACAAGGCTTAGATCCAATGATTCAGATGCTACTAGTGCTGGATTAAACCGCCCTTGCTGTCCAGATGAGGCGCCCAGTCATTCGAAGATGGATCGTTCTTACCCAATCCACAGTGATCCACGCCTGTGTGTCTTAAAGTCTGCCAGTCCTTCCAATACTGCGTTAAGACGTCAGAATGTCCAGAAACAATGTAGATACTTTCACGGACACAGTCTCAGTGTCTCACCTAACATTACTCTTGTCCCATGTCTTCACGACAGAAACTTGACCAAAGACAGGTTGGCCTCAGGAAAAGAAAATGCTGAAGCAAAAAATAACATTTGTCAGTCAGATGATGATATTTCGACAAAGACTGTCCACAAAGCGCTCCAGAACAATGGCTCCAGTTTAACGACTGTCCACAAAGTGCCCCAGAACAATGGCTCCGGGTTAACGACTGTCCACAAAGTGCCCCAGAACAATGGCTCCAGTTTAACGACTGTCCACAAAGTGCCCCAGAACAATGGCTCCAGTTTAACGACTGTCCACAAAGCGCTCCAGAACAATGGCTCCAGTTTAACGACTGTCCACAAAGTGCCCCAGAACAATGGCTCCAGTTCTAGTCACATTTCCAGTAGTGAAGCTCGTACAAACCTGCAGCTGTTCAAGAGCAGAAGCTGTACGACTCTGCCAAGCGAAACCACTTTAAGTTCTGTGAATCTCCCTCCTCTGGGATCTACACTCCATCCTCGAGAGGATCAGCTTCAGTCTCTAGATCCCTCTCTACTGGATAATGGTGAGCTTGTGTCCAAAGAGAAGAGACCGAGCTGTAGTTCTTCTGGGATCAAGAAGGTTCATCTCGACAAAGCTTCTGATTGTGTTTTGTACAGTGATGATATGATCAGAGTGTATGCCCGTTTGGCTTCTGTGGTTCCCGAAGGGATCAAAGTTTATCAAGAGTCGATAGCCTCAGTCGCCGATATTAACGCAAGTATATCTGAAAGGAACGCAGGGTATCCATTTAATATAAAACCATGTTATTCACAGATGTCAGAGTGTGTGGAATCTGACAACAGTCAATTATTCAGTGATTGTGAGCCTGTCAACAGCGATACTCCCACTTCATCTGTTTGTAGAACCATCCAAGAAACAACAACGAACGCGAAACGCAGCAGTACAGCGCAAAGTGTCTCGAGGGACTGTACCTCCCCCAAAAAGGAAGAAATACCAGACGGGGAACTCAACAATCCAATACGTAACGTGAGACTGTCTCGCCCTGTGACAGATCAAGGTACGTGTGTAGCTGGTGTGGTTATCTCTGTGACAGATCAAG